GTGACAAACCTGTGATGAAGCCATCATTAGTCATTAAATTTGCACATGCTCTGTTCAAACCGGAAGTTGTGTGGGGCAGTTTTCTCTCTTCCTCACTCAGAAGACATTTTGGCATTATGTTTAGAAAAGGGATCGTACTATTGTGTAGATATTCGCTTTCAGCACAGATGATTCTGAAATGGGGATATTTGCATGTAAATGCACTTAAACACTCTTTATATTTTTCTTACGTTGACTCTGCTGTCACATGATCTCACCTGTGTAAAATTCTGGGCTTTGGCCTGAGCTCTACAGGTGGCTGCTGCTGGATCAGTGGGTGTTAAAGCCCCTGAAAACTTTGGGTTCAGAGCTCTGCATCTTTAGATATGTCACTAAACTGAGTAGGAATGACGACAAATGGTGCAGGAATGGTTTGACGTGTTGCACAATTCTCGTGCATCTCTCTAGCTCACAACTTGACACGTTCATATCATGTTTGGTTAATCTGTGTGCTACAACTCTCAACAAAGTCAGTCCAGTTTTCCAAATGCCTAACTGTTTGGGTTTCAGCTTACCTGTCTCTTTAAGACCTCAGGCTGTAGTTTAATCCGATTATTCTAATAAATGTGCAAACAACCCCACAACTGCCAGGATAACTTTAATTGGTGTGCTGAAATTAGTGATAACTTGACATTAAATGGATTTTTAAAGAGGCTGAAAGTAAGTTTTCAGGACCTTTCGAATCAGGGAGTTGGATCAGAGTAGCAGTCGGGTATTGCAGGCCACAGAATGTGTTCTTTGTAATGACAGGCAGGCTGTGTGACACGACAGTAGCTGTATGTTAATTCAAGCAGAGTACTGTTTATTGTTCAGCTTGTCACAGCCAGAAATCATTACTTTTATTTCCCAAGATGCTTGTGAAATTCTGCTTTTTCCAGGTCACTGTATATGCGTATAGTTAATGGCACTTAAGAGCTTTGACTTTTGCTTGTGATTGTTGCAGTTTGTATTTCAGCTTTGTACAAGTTGCCTTAATGATGATGATGATGGTTTTGCAGCATTAAGAGTTTTAATTAGACACTTGTCAAATCATCTAACAAGCTTTGCTCAATAACTTTGTCCTGTGCATTCAGTAACTCACTGCTTACTCGCTGCGTGATGTTTGGCTGCTTAATTTCCCTCCACTCGTGGAGGAGACGTGCACACACATAAAGGGAATCTGTGCTGCAAGACAATCTCAGTTGTTGTTGTGTGTTATGTGGATGCAACTGATTTCCTCTGCATTCTCTCATGCTGTTAGCTATAATAAATTGGATTTCAAATTGTGTCAACTGAGCTTTTTAGTGTTTTCTACAGAAATAAAAGAATGTGCTGTTGAACCACTTGAGTAAATGTTTATGCTTTTAATACCTGGGAGATTTACTTGTCAGACCACTTCTATCTTTCGGCTGTCCTTTCAGTAACCATATGTTATGTTTATGTCCTATGTTAAGCCTGTGAGACATTCACCTCTCTGCTCTCTTCACTCCTGTTTAGCTGAGGAATGCCTGGCTGATGGGGAGAGCTTCCTTGTTCCCATAGCTGTCGGAGTTGCCCTGCTTGTTCTCATTCTTATTGTTCTGCTGGCCTACTTCATCGGAAGAAGGAGAAGCATGGCCACCGGCTATCAGTCTTTCTAATTTCTCATTTAGAGCTTTCAGCTATACAAAGGATAGTTGCTGCCTTTGACTAATTGTGGGGAAAAAACTATCATTGTGTTTATGTAGTGTTGATAGGTGTTCAGATTGCCTTCTTGCTGAGAGCCAAATTGACGCTGTTCGTCTGTAAATTTGAAGCTACAGTTTAGCCTCGCGTAAAGACTGGAAACGCTGAGACTGCATCTTTAGATTTAACTGAAGTCTGTGCCAGCAGCTCAAAAGATCACTTAAGCTGGTTTTCTACACGATTCCTACCCTGAACTCGGCCGCACTTCAGCTGATGCAGAGACTGCCAGCTCCTTAGAATAAAGGCTGTGATGTTGATCTAATGTAACCATGAGTGCCATGTAAACCAGGCAGTACAGTAGTGCCACCATTTCTTGCAGAAAATGTTTTTTTTTATTAAATATTTAAGATGCACAAATTAAGCAGAATAAATGAATCTGAACTAATTTCTTGGCTGGTGGTGGTTAGATTCAGAAATCTTTTGGGGGTTTTTTTTCTCTTCATGGCAACAAACAACTTGTACATATTAAAATCCACAGGTTGTATTAACGGTCTTTTCAGATTAACCTGTTAATGAGCAGACTTTAAAGATGCTGACATGACCAGTTTCTAGTGTTTATGCTAAGCTGTGCTGACCAGCTTTGTATAAGAGCGGCATTAAT